ATTTAGCAAAAGGTAAGATCTGTTTTTAAAAATTACTAACATATAAGGCAAATAAACTTTTCTAAAAAAATCGAATACAACATGAGAAGGAATTTACACTAGTACAATTTATTCTTTTAAAAAAATAGAATTTAAGGAAGCTAGATGATAAACTAGTGTTTTCAAAGGTTCTTTATGCCTTTTGAAAGGATATTCACAATTTACAGCAGAAACCACTGCAGTAATTGGCATGACCAGGGTACAGTCAGCTCAGTACTTTGTAGTCAATGATGTTTATAAGCAAGACTATCTTCCACTTTTAAAACTATGCCTAAAAAGGAATTCTCTTTGAAGACTAAAGGAATTTAATTGAAGATAAAGCCACTTGTGTGGCCACAGAACACATCAAACAGATCATACTTCAAGCAGAATTATTACTATTTAGTTATAGTGCATGAGTCATAGGAATATAAACAGCTACTTTTTTCTGCGTAGGTCAATTTGATGCAGAAATTTATATGTAAATGTAAAAATTTACCTCTGCTCAGTCTACTTATTTTGGCTCAAATTTAAGATGTGGCTAAACACTGATTAATGACCTACTACCAAATACAAATGTTCGCTTCCAAAAAGTAAAATACTGAAAAATTCCGAATTTTACAAAGGAAGCCATAACTTACAAACAAAAAGTTATTATTTAAAAATATTAACAGAGCTACAATATTACAAACTAGTGTTTACATCCATTTCTAAGAACTAAAAAGTAACTTCTAGTATTAAGTTTCCCACTATGAATTATCCTCAATTTTCATTCTACACTATCAATTACACTACCATTTTCATTAACATTTTCTGGGTGTTTATGGTTAGGGAATAAGGAGTCTGGCTCAGTAAAATAGCCATTTAGGATAAAATTTAAAAGAAAAGTAGAACTCTTTTACAAATGATTTGCTTCCTTTGTTCTTCTAAATCTAACATAATGAAAATAATGTAGGATTGCACTTATGACACCGGGCTATGTTTATGTACAATATTCCATTACATATCAAAATGCAGTAATGACTAAGGACAGTCAGGAAATTGGTTGCTATTTCCCCAATAGCGGTCATTTGTGTGGCAATCAGTCTCATTGTTTGCCATTTATAATTTGACAAACCCAATTAGTATCAAACTTAAGTGCAATCTTAAATCTGAAGGAAGTTGCTTTCTGTCTCCTTCAACTAACATCTAATAATGTGCAAACTTAAAAAGTCATTGAGATAACTGAATGAATACACCAAAAATATAATAAAACAGGAATTATATATTACTGATAGATTTTATGTAGCAAATTAGAAAACAAATGATTTTATAGAAAATAACAGGTGGGCTGCCAAAAGCAGTCTGAAATAAACCAATGAAATGTAGACACTAAGGTTTTGTGGGGTTTTTTTTGCTTTTCTCAAACCTAAGGGCTACCACTAGGATGATCAGTGAGAAATCTAATCACATTAGAAGATAAAGGAAAAACTGAAGTGAAATAGTTTAAGTTAAAATAAATGGATTAAGGGGCTGGGAAAGTGGCTCAGTGGTAGAGCGCTTGCCTTGCATGCTCAAAGCCCTGGGTTCGATTCCTCAGCACCACATAAGCAAAAAGAAAAAAGCCGGAAGTGGCACTGTGGCTCAAGTGGTAGAGTGCTAGCCTTGAGCTGAAGAGCTGAGGGACAGCGCCCAGGCCAAAAGTCAAGGCCCACAACCGGACCAAAAATAAATAAATAAATAAATAAATGGATTAAGGAGAATTGGAGGAAGTACTTGGATAATACAGGGGTTGGACAATGTGAGATTACAGAATTTTTCTAAGATCAATGAAGTCCCACGTGAACAGAAGAAATAGTCAAATTAATCATTACATTGTACATTAAAAGGTACTTCCAAATTATAAAAAAACCGCAAAAGAGTACAACTAGCTACTTGGGAAAAAGACATCAGGAAGATGGAAGTTCAAGACAAGTTGACACACACATCTCAACAGATAAGCCAGGTGTGGAAGCAAGTCACCTGTCTTCCCAATTACAAGGGGAAACACAGGTAAGAAAATCACAGTCTGAGGCAGGCCCTGTGCAAAACCAAGAAACCCTACCCCCAAAATAGCTAAAGTGCCTGTGTAACCAATGTGAGTCCCTGCATTCAAAACAAAGCACTGCCACTCCCCCCTCCCAAAAAAAAAGGCAAAAACAATTTCTTGATCTTTCATGGATAAGAGTTAAATATTAATAGCCAATTGGCAAATATTTACTGTTTACCCACTATGTGATTTGCAACATACCAAATATGAAACTACCTTATAGTAAAGTAGGAAATAGGATATACCCTATCTACCTAGAGAAAAACTCTTAATGCAAATTAAAGCATAGTGTTTCATCTTAAAGCTAATACTGGATGACGAACCCAAGTGTCAGATGTTCATACCACTATGAGGATAAGCCAATATAATATTCTGGGAAGCAACTTGGGGGTACTACAAGGACTTAAAAGGCAACAAGAAAAACAGATTCTGACCCAGAAATTATTCTCCAAAGGGAAGAGAGAAACTTGAAAGATTTTTTTGTAAAAGGCTACTTAATGAAATTCTGAAATTTAAAGTTGCGAACATTAGAAACATCCTTACCAGTAGTAAAAAAAAAAAAAAAACCTAAATACAATAGTTAAGTGATGAAATGTTAAGAAGCTATTAACGTTTTTCAAAGAATATTGAATGGTATGGGAATGTTTGAGTTGCAACTAAATGAAAATACTGCGTGATTCCAGTTTTAGGAAAACATATACAGTATTTAAGAAAATATGAATTACCCTAATTTTCCTATTTGTACTTTTCTCTACTGGCCAAATAATGTTAAGATTTAATGAAATGATCGTTCCTTGAAAAGGCACATATCGCTATGAGAAATTAAAACGTAAAAGTCAGTGTCACAAAACTGGCCTCGGCTAAGACTTTCACATTTAAAAACCCCTCTGGGAAGGCTGGTGAAGCAAAGCAATGATAACTTTATGTGAGGAACTGGTGGCGGACCCTGACATTCATTTTAACGAAGCGGAAACTGAAGGAAAAGCAACCTTCCCAGTTCACAGCACATTCTGCAGAAAATCAGAGCTCTCCTGCGTGATACTCCTGGGTTTCCATTCGGCCAACAGGCAGGCTCTTTAAAAACCGCCTTGGTAGCACGGCACCGGGTGACTTCTGCTCCTGCAGTGCTGGCAAGCACCACGGTTAACTTTTTCTGACGTGGGGCACTGCATCTCCCTAACCATTTTCTTCGGGCCAGGGTCGTATGTATCATGACACAGTGCACGTGAGGAAGGGGATCTGGGACCGGCGGACGTCGGACTGGCCTGGGACCCTCCGGCCACCACGCCGCGTCCCCAACGCCCAGCTCGTCTCCAGTTAGTATCTGGTGGAGCGCGAATTTCTCCCCCATCCAGAAAACGGCCGGTTTTCTCGGGCGGAATTCAACAATAACTTTCGGAGAGGTCCGGGGGCTCGCGATCGGGCCGCACCCGGCTGGGGTTTTCTCTCCGTTGGGGGGCGGGGTGGGGGGGGGAGAAGGGAGCGATCCTAAGAACCCAAACCCAACTCCGCGCAAAGCTCAGCCAACAGGTCCAGGAAGGACCGGGGAAGCCAGTTTCTTGGATCTCGCCAGGGCCAGCCTTCCCAGATTTGGGGAATTAAAAACAAAAACTGGAAAACACACCAGGTTTCCGCGGCTGGAGAGTGGGGGGGGGGGTTAAAAAACAACAGCAACAACACCGCGAACACCAACCCCTGCGGGAGCCCCCGACTGGAGGAGGGCAGCGCGGGCAGGAGCCCCCCGCGGCTGCGGGCCCCGGGTCGGCGGCGGCTCCGTCCCCCGCCCCGTTCCCTGCGGTTTCGGGAACCACCCGAGCATCGCCTGGCACTTCTTCCTCCCAACCACCACACACGTTCTCAGTTTTTCCAGGAAGACCGGTCGCGGTCCCGGCGCGGGCAGCGACACCGACTCCTCGCACACGTCAAACCAACGTCTGCCCGAGGCAGAGTACAAGATCAAGACCGAGGGTCCCGGCTCACGCCGGCTCACGCCGCCCCGCCCCGCCCCGGCGCCGCCCCGCACACAGCCCACCACCACGCCAAGCCTGGGGCGAGGCGGCGGCCGCTCGGGCGAGGGGCGGGCCCCGGAGACCACGTGTGCCGCCTTCTGCGCACGCGCCGGCCAAAACAAAAGGGAGGCCTGCCAGGCCCCTCCCCCTCCCCACGTGACCCGGCCCTGGGCCCACCCCCGGCCCGCCCCGCCCTCCAGCCCTTCCCTCCGCTCCCCTCCCCGCCGCTCCTGCCAAGGCTGTTAGATTTAGCCGTTTAAATTTGGCTGTGGTCCGACCCCTGCCCTGGAGCGCGATCCGTGTGCCGGGGCCCGGAGTCCAACAGCCCAGAGGATTCGGGGAACGAGGGGGCTGCCGGTGGGTCGCCGGGCCCGCGAGTCCCCCCAGCGGTCCCGTCCGCTCTCCCCGCCCCGCGCTGCCTCGGTCCCCGGCCGAGACCCACCCCCGTCAGCCCGCCGCTGAGACGCCGGCCACTCGCCTGCTGGGGCGCCCTGGCTCCCCTCCGCCGCCGCACCTTCGGTCCGGCCGTGGTGGGGGCTGCTGAGGTGATCTCTAGCTGCCCGCCCGCCTCCCCCCACCCGGGGCGCCGCTGCCGCCTCTCCAGAGCGCGCCCCGCTCCCGCCCGGGCCGCCGCCGCTGCCGCCGCGGTTTAACAGTCCGCCCGCTGCCCGCAGCTCAGGGCGCTCGGGGGACGGAACCCTGCCGCGGCGGGGGTGGGGGGGCGGAGAGGGGGCGGAGCCCTGTGCTGGCCAATGGCGGAGGGGGCGGGGCCGCGCCATGCAAATGCAGCGGGCGGCGGGGGAAACCCCGGCGGGGGGCGGGGCGTGCAGGGGGGGCGGAGCTGGCCTGCGGCGGCTCCGGGCGTTCTGGAAGCGGCCGGATCGCGGGGCGCCTGGACCCCCCTTTCACGGCGAGCTCCCCTCCCGCTGGGTTCCACCAGCCTCCGGCATCCCCTTTCTCCTCCTGCCCGGTGCCAGCCTGGAAAATATCCCCCGACGACACACATAGGGCCGGGTAGCACGGTGACAGGAAAAAGTAAAGCGGGAAGGAGGGCCGGAGTGCGGGCCCGGCGCTGCGGGGCGCCCGCTCACGCCCGACCGGCCCGCGCGTCCCCCGGCACGTTGCATTTTGGTCCGGACGGGGTCGGGGTCGGTGTGTGATTTTACCCGAATAAATAAAGCATCCGGAGCCGCCCGAGCGAGCCGTGTGCAGCCCGCGAACGTCGGTGGCGTCGCTCCCGGCGCCCGAGGCCCGTCCGCGGCGGGCGTCCCGGGCCGGTAGTTGGCCGGGGAACAAGGAAAGCCTCCGTAAGTCCCGCACCTGGCCCAGCCTCCCCTCGCCCACCGGGCTGCGCCCCCGCCCCACCCCGGCGCCTCCGGGCCTCCAACTCCAAGGTGGTTTGTCTTGTCGTTGTTCTGATTGGTTTTCTGTTCGACGTCTGTGAAGCTGAACTAAACGCAGCCCCTCGGAAGCGGGATTACGGGCTTCGCGCAACAGCTCGGTCTGACGGGAAGCGTTGGTGGGGAGGGGGGGACGCCAGGGGTTTAGGTCCAGATTTACTGGATCTAACTCCTTCTTTCTGCTTTATTGCTTTGGTTACGATCCCGGGGAAAGAGGGGAGGCCCGAGGGGCCTTAGGCATGAACCGCTCTCATCCCTGACACGTGGAATAGAATCGGAAAGGGAGCTGCTTGTTCCCGATCGTTCTAGCAGATTCTGACATTACCGAAAATGTTTGCGACTGAGCTGCATTCAGCAGGGAGACTATTTCCTTAAAATTGTCCGAAATTATAACTGCACCTCAGTATGCCTTAGGACATTCGTTTACCCTTGTGTTATTAAACGTTGTGAACGATTGTGAAAATAAGTTAAGAGCTTCCCTCGTCCCTAAGGACCGAAGGGGGGGGAGGAGTAAATGTAAGTGTGTGTGTATGTATGTACTGTGTGAATGTGTATGTGTGTGTGTATGTATGTGTGTGTGTCTTTAATCGCATCCAAATAAACATGAGTTAAAATAGTTCAAAGGATTTCTGGATTTCAGCTGAACATTTTAAAAGCTTCAGGCAGAAAAGAAGAAAGCATGAATAATTAAGATAAGTATCCTTCAGTAGCTTCAGTGGAGATCGTTTGTCTCATATTATTGAGGTTGAAAAGAACATGGTCAACCAAGTCGGTTAACGTGAATGACGTGAACTGAGGGGTGTAGAGCACTGATGGAGCGCTTGGCCTAGCCCAAGGGGGTGGTCCCTCCGGGTTCCATCTCCAGCAAGCTTGTGAGTCACCAGGGTTGATTTTGACCTCATTGAATTGTAAAGCCATGAAATCATTTGATGGTATGTTTTCTCCTGTGAAATAAGTATTTATTATAACATATTTATCATTACAATAAATATTTGCCGAGCTAAATGTTTCTTGAACGCATGTTTTATGATCAGTAATAGAGGTTCAGAAGTAAACAAAGCCCCTGTCCTTAGTAGAGTTTATACTGAGTGACACAGTTATTAGCTTTGCCAATATACAAACACATGGTGTATTTTTGCATATAGTATCTATTTTTCCATAAAACACCCTAGAAAATAGATTGTTTCCAAAACTCCAGGGCAATTCTGTCTTTGATCTTAAGCCAGCATTTCAGCCTACCAAATTTTGTAGACTTTAAATGTTCCATCGATCAAACCATCATATATATAAATATTTCCTAGTCTTTTTTCTACTCATTGGTCATTTAAAGGAAACAAGAATGGATGAATGATTAATAAACTAATATGGGCTCATTGTACAATAGGTAGGAAAGCAAAAGGAAGAAAATGAGTCATATGCAGGCCTGCTATGTTTTGTGTATATGAGATGGTGCTACATATTGGGCTGTTTTCTAACCCTAGTAATTACAAGTTAAGCACACTGCTGTGCCTTAACACTGAATACTGTGTGATTACAGTATGCCTGGTGTAGTGTATACCATGCCAGCTTTCCAGGCACTATAGAATATCAAAACACCCAAGTACAAAAATTGACACACTAAATCGCATGTCAAATTTCTTCATAACTCATCAGCAAGCACCTTCAACGTGCATTAAAAAAAATCAGCGAACATTTAAGAAAGGACTACTAGAATAAAGATAGAAGGGGTAAGGTTTGTTGGGATACATTGTATATATGTATGGAAATGTGACGATGAAACCCCTTTTGTACCCCTGTTGATTTTTTTAAAAAGCAGAAAAAAAACAAGAATACATTACTGTTGACATTCATTAAAAGAATTCTGATTTCCAAGGAAAAATGTAACAAGCAGTACACATAAGATACTTGAAGATCCAACATGAACAAGGAGAACGGAAGGGCACCATTCTTGCTGACATGAGTATTAACCTGTCTGCAAGAATGTAAAGTGTCCAGGTAAGCAGTATTACAAAGACTACATGAGATAAACTTCTCAACACTCGTTTATACTCAGTCACTTCTTTCTTTCAGAAAACATTGGTGCAGCACTTAAGATGCAGCTAACACTGTGATAAATGCTAGAGATAGAGGAGAAAAATCAATCCTCACTTTCAAGCAACACTCAGCCAACAAAGGATTACAAACACAGCCTTTTTCTATCTTCTTTCCCTGCTGGTTTTTTTTTCCTCCATAGCACTTATCACCACCTAACATAGCACAGACTTTGATTTTCATTTCTTTATCTCCCTAGTCCAGAATATAAATAAACTCCATGAGCTCTTCTGCTATCTTGCTCACTGCTACATCCTCAGATCCTAGGTCAAGATTGAATATATATTGGATGGATGAATCCCTTAATTCTCACACTCTGCCATGTTATATTAATTTTCCAGATGAACAGAAAAAGAACCTCAGTGAATATGCCAAGACATTTACAGTAATAAATGGCCAGTTCTTTCCCTGCTACCTCTCATAGGACAGAAAGCTGGTTTGGGGGTTTGTACTATTTGTTCCTTTATATTTCTATGCCCACTGTCATATTCTAGTATATTTGTTTTTCTGATCGGGTTTGGAAATTTAGACTAGAAAAAACAATAGGACTAAAGATGGAAATTCCTACTCAGGATAGATGTAGCTTCAGTCCGTGTTCATAGACAATTAGAAAAAATGATAGGGATAAGTAACAAGTGTTATAGGATTATTAGACCCAGAGCTGGGCAATACAGAGGACAGAACTGGTCCATGGCTATAGTGGGATTAAAAAATTACTGCTTGTGCATCGAATATCCATAGCATATTTACTCATAATAAACCCTAACTGAAAAACAAAAGATTCATCATCCATGAAAGGGTAAATAATATGTAAAATATGCATATATTCCACTATGGAATACTTCTTAGAGATAAAATTACTAATATATAAAACAAGATGGACCAGTCTTAAGCAGTATGCTGAATGAAAGAAACCAGACCACAAGAGAGAATAAATATTGTATGATCCCATTTATATCTGGCTCTTGGAAGACTTATCTGTAATGACAGAGTGTAGTTCAATAGTTGCACAGGCCTGGGGAGAATTAAGGGATCATGAAGATATCTTGTACCCATGATCATCATGAAAGTGAAATTGATGCATAAGTCAGTATAACCACTAAAATATATATTTTGAGTGAATGTTATAGATACATAAAAATATCTATACAAATTTTGAGTATGCATTACCTATGTGGGCCCTAATTTAATAAAGTTGAGTTTTAAAATAACTATTGTTTGATGCATGTGAACTCAAACTTCAAGTCCTTCTTAATTCAAATACATATGGAAAAATTTAAACCTGGTTTGTATTAAAGATTGTGTGTTGTGTGTTATGTATCAGAAAGCCTAGAGATTAAGGTACAGGCTCTGATAGAGTGCTTGCCTAGTGTATGTTTGATCACTGTCAGCACATACACACACAAGTGGGTTAAAACACACGACTTGTTTCTTAGAAGACATTTTATAGATTCTTAGATTCCTTTTTTTTTTCCAGTTTTATATTTTTTTTCTTTTTTTTTGTTGGTCGTGGGGCTGGAACTCTGGGCCTGGGTACTGTCCCTGCACTCTTCAGCTCAAGGTCAGCGCTCTACCTCTTGAGCCACAGTGCCACTTCCGGTTTTCTAGTGGTTTATTGGAGATCAGAGTCTCACGGACTTTTCTGCTGGGGCTGGCTTTGAACCATGATCCTCAGATCTCAGCCTCCTGAGTAGCTAGGATTACAGGCGTGAGCCACCAGCGCCCAGCTCAGTTTTATATTTCTGACATCAGAATAATCTCACAGTTCATGCAAAAAGCAAAGCATTGTTTGAGTTGGCTGGCAGTGTTTATTTCCTTAATAAACCATAAATAAACAGTACATCTGAAGAGTCAGTGAAATATAGTAAAATGTCTGGAAATAAGTATCCCTAAATACAAGCTCCACCAACTCACCAAGATCTCAGGGTCCTGTCTATAATTCTGTTCTTATCATTCTCAGTCTCTGAGTTCTATTCTCAAAGAAATCTCATGGTTCTAGTTGGCTTCCAGGCTCAGACAGCTTTCTAGAGCACTTGTCTTCCATATGTTGGATCAGCATCCCCTACTTTGAGCTTCCTCCACTTCCATATCATCTGTACAATTGTTATCACAGGCTCACACACAAACCACACTGTATCCACAATCCTTTGGCAAGGACTGCTGACAGAACCCAGTTACAGGCAGAATTATAAGAGAACTAGGAAATAAACGTGTGCCTGGGTAAATATTGGGCTCTCACATAAAGCCATGCCACAAAATTTTACATGGACTTCAACAAGTGAGAGTATGTGACCATCTTTAGGCTTTATGCCAACAGGACATATAGTGAGTAGTTGTTATAAGAAGTGTTTCTTCGTAGTTGCCTATTTCGTTTCTTTTCCATAATCTTCTTTTTCTACCATTTTCCAGAATTTCTTGTTAGCCTTCCATCTAGCTCATGTGCTTAAGTGAATGTGCTGCTACCTCCATGTCTCAAAGAGAATCCTAGTTGATACAAATAAACTCAGACAAATGGTTTCCTTGAACGTGAGCATTGGTTCAGAGGTAGGGGCAGGGCCAAAACTATCTTCTTAGGAATAAGTTTCAGTTCTTACGCCCCATACACTGGACACACATGATCAATCTGCACTTGAAGAAGAAGGTGCATCTGTTGACCATGAAAGGTTTGAATTTCAGAGTCAGTCATACACTACAAGTGACAAACCAGAGGGATAGGGAACAATTATAGAGTGAATCCTTGGAGAGTTAAAACACTCAGACAAACAGTTCTGAGTCTTCTCTGACTCTAACCTTTCAGTTTTCTGAGTTTCCCCTCATTCTTTAACCCAAATTGAATTTGTTCATTGTTTCTTGCAAACAACAAAACAAAACAACAAATTCTATGATTAAATTTCCACCTATAAAATTGAGCATAACTTACCTTGGAGTATGCCAAGGTAAATTTCTGGTGAATTTAACTTTAACTTAATAACGTATAATTTTTAATAATCAAAATAGTTCCCAGAGGGATTTCATGAAACAGAATGAAAAATAAAAACTTGATAGTTTGAAGCTGAAAAAACTTCACTAAGTCAACTAATCAACTAGACCTCTTTGGAAAAATGGCTTATGTAGCCCCAACACAGGATATTTTGTTGTACCCGTTATAAAAGATACCCAATAATGTCATATTACTCAGGATTATCTGATGTCTATTATTTTACATAATCAGTGGGAGGGAAAGAAATGAGTATGGGTGACTACATAGTGCCCACAAATTAATAATTGTCAAAGCTGGATAACAAAGTTGGTGGTTCATTAAATGCTTTTTTGTGCTTTCCAATGGGATTTTATTTTTCACAATAAAATGAGAAAATTAAACACAAACTTAAAGGGCTATTATTAGTCTAAGACGAAACAACTGATAGGAGCTGGACACTGGGGGCTCATATGTGTAATCCTAGTTACTAAGAAGGTTGAGACTTAGAAGATTATTATCTGAAGGCAACTCAAGCAGAAAAGTCTGAGAGACTCCACTTCTGATTATCAGCAAAAAGCTGGACCTGTGACTCAAAAGCTATGAGCAAGAAAGCTGAGCCAGCACAGAATCTGAGTTCAAGCCCTAATATTGGGACACACACACACACACACACACATGCATGCTCACATGCACACACACGTACACAAATTGAAATGACTTCAATTAAATTTCATTAAAATGTCCAAGATTCATTGATTCCTAATAATAGTTAAAAAATCACTACCATTAGAAGTTATTACTCAAAAAATTGATTAAAGGAAAAAAATCAATAATTATTCCTGGATTTCATTTATAAATATTAAAATATGTCATCCATGTCTAGCTCCTAGACTTCCTTTCAAGAACAAACTTGGCATTTTAAGAAATACAGTTCACTGTTGGGCATACTAACACATGCCTATAATCCCAGCACTCAGGAAGCTAAGGCAGGAGAACTAATATAGGATACACAGTAACACTGTTAAAAAAATCAAAACTGAAAAAAAAGAAAAGAAGGAGATGGGGAAAAGGGGGGAGGGAGAGGAGAGGTGAGAAGGGAAAGGTGGGGAGGAGTGAGGAGGAGAGAAAATACAGTTAACTGACATCCTCTAGCTGTTAGTACCTACTGGAGCAATGTCAACTTTTAGAAAGTTCTGGGACAATGACTAAACAGGAAACAGTTATTTGGCTGCTTTTCTGACCAGTGCTGAGTCCTTCAAATGGCCAGAATACCTTATAACTACCCAATGGGCTTAACAAGACTTTGCCCATGGTTCAAAGTTCATAGAGGTTTAACCTGTCTAATATGACTTATTTCCCTTGCTATTGTGTTACAGCTAGGTAAATGCTTGTGTTTCTATGTCTCGGCTTCTGATTCCTCTATCATTCAGTGGACTATACCAAAAATTTGTCTACAATGATTAAGACAAAACATTAAATATTAGGAAAGCATGCTTTTAAAAAATTTCTAATGATATTATGGACCTTTGTAAATATCCTATATGGGCATAAGACTACTACAATCTGAATCCACTGAACTGTTTCATTCATTGTAAGGGAGAAAACAAGGTATATGACTCCTGATGCAATGCAGTAGAATATATGCTCCTGATTAAGTTATCTGGGCAAAAGTACTGAGCCTCAATCTAATTAAGCACTTAGATCTATCAGTTTACAGGAAACATTGAGAACAGAGGAGTAAATAGAAACCACCATGAGAGATTAATGATTAATATGGTTGATAATCCACAAAATAAATGACCAGGTTCTTATTTTTTCCAAAAAGTTAATCATATGGTGGAAGAGGGAAAAAATAATCTTCAACTCATTACACCCTGATAAAACCAGACAAAGACAATACTAAGAGTTCCAAGCTGGGCACT